ATTTGCTACAAAAGCCAGTGTATCTGACTTTCATTATTTCATATTAACTCCACCATATAATCCTCAACTTCAGCCAATCGAATTAGTGTGGTCTTATGTAAAACGTTATGTTGCTAAACAATTCACGTCTTCTAGAACTGTTCAACAATTAATTGAACAAACAAAGAAAGGATTCTACGGTGATGGAGGTGATCATGAAGGTATATCGACCGAAATGGTCAGAAATATGATTTCACATGCACATAAATACTGTGATATATTTATTAACAATGATCCTCAATTAGAAGGATCTATCATCAATTTAAAGAACGTGAAAGATTATGAAGAAATTTATGAAAAAGAACAAGATGAAGATGAAGATGATGATATTAATATAGAAGACGACGACATTCAATAACTTATTAAATAAAAACATCGTAATCAGCATTTCTGAGCTTCATAATTAGAATATGTGATAAATATTATGAACGTTATTTTCCTAAATAAACTAGTTCTTATCTATATAAAAGAAATAAATTTGAAAAAATTTATCTTACATATTTTCTTTTAGCATTTTAATAAAACCAGCCTAGTAATCTGCTGCTAATATCACACCGTTATATAGTGTATAGTGTCCTCGAGCAAACATCAAGGTATGATGATAAAATGATAGAGATTCATTTCAAAAGGAGTGATCAAACAAACATCTCTCAACTTGAGTTTGATGCTAAAGGATTATAGAGTCACCACCATTGTCAGGATCAGTGTCCATTTTTAATCATAAGAAAGTAATTAGAAACAATTAACCAAAATGCTATTGGCAAGATAGCTACTGTGTTTAGGCAAATATTCAATCAATACAAGATATAAGAAACACAGAGTAGATATATAAAAAAATCAAGACACGATAAAGTCTTACTTATGGATAATATGAGTCATTATTTCTATTCTCAATCGAGGTCGCTGTTTAATATAGTGTTAGTTGTAGGGTGTCACTGCCTCTATAATGCCATAGGCATAATATATAATAAATACTTTCTATTACATATAAAAAATGAAAAGAATAAAAAAAGACCAAAAATGAAAAAATGCAAAATTTCAATCTAAATTTGAGATCAAACGACTATAGTTTCAGCATTTGTTACATAAAAACACTCCATCTAATTTTAGCTTTTTTTGCCCGTCCGTGAGATTTATGCCCTTCTCTAATATATTCTTGACTTTCCTTCTGCTAGCATATTTGTCTTATTATGTTCTTTTTAAACAAAAGGTATGAAAACAGTGGTCAGTGGACCTGAAATTAAGATAACATTTTAATAACTTTCAAACCCAGTTAAGGTGTCGCTAATCCAAAACCGGAACAAAAAAATGCTTTTTATCTCGTGATTCGACGGAGCTTATCAAATCAAACAGGAAGCAGATAATATTAGTTTTGAGCTTTTGAAAATGATTTCAAGACGTAGTTTTTATTGTTTTAAAAGGTGATTTTGTTGACTTTTATGAAGTTTTTGAAAAACAGAAGGTCTTTTATATTTATTTTTTATAAACATAAATTTAACGCTTGATCACGGTTCTCCTTTTTAGACTTCATGGATGTTTAGGAGTCAGATTGGATTCACACTAGAACGTATAGGAGAAGTTCAAACTTTTTAACAATTGATTCAAGCTTTTCATATATGGATCAATGGTGTACATCATGCTCCTTCTAGACGTGAATGTGTTGATATTGATGCAGGCGTATGCAAACATATACTATTTAGAGGACATTTTTGCGAAAGGTTTTATAATAATCCCATGTTTATCAAACCGGGAAAAAACCGCCAATTAACCTCGGTTAACCGTCCGGTTGAGTGTGCGCTTTACCGTCCGATTAACTGCAATTAACCGCGAACCGGCACAAAATGCTCGGTTAACCGTGTTTAATTGACGGCGTTTTGCTAAGCAAGTGATATGAGTACAAATCCTCTTTTGAACAGTTTTTCATTTTTCTTTTGAGCGTGTGTTCATATGTTCCATGCAGTCAAACTGTCGATTAGTCAAAGTCCACACGGCGAAGTTTTGGACAGAGCAGTATCTGTCTGCTTGCCAGGACTCTTAGATGCAGTCCGAAAGATATTTAGACCAAGTCAAAGTTCACACTTCAAGAAGTCATGGGAAAAATTCTGAAGTTTTTCGATAAATCATGTTGTCCTTATATACATATAGTGACCACAAAACAAAACGGTGATTGTAAAAGAAACGGTTAACCGTCGGTTCTCCAAAATAACGCGGTCAATTGGCGGTTAATTTTCTGAACCGCAGTATCAAAAATACAGGCGGTTAACCGCGCTTAATCGACGGTTTATAGCAAACCGCGGTCAGTTGACGGTTATCTGAAGAACCGCGGTTAACCGACGGTTTTCCATAAAAATACACGACATAGGACAGCACATTGATGAAATATCCTTGGGAGAAATCATTAGACTACATCAGCATATAGCGTCAAATTTGTGCACAAATGCCGAAATATAAATCGTATAGTCTGAATTTATAGCATTTGCATCGCCTTGTAAATATAAACGTATAGATCTCATCATAGTTAACGTTTTCACAACTGACGTTTTTATCACAGTCATATAACTATCTAATAGCTAATTTCTCTAAAAAATTCACGGTTACATCTTCTCTGCTTGGATAGAAACTAATGTTTTACTCTTCAAGCCATTGCTATAATTTTGGTTTTTTCTCCTATCTCCATACCACAACGACTTAAGAGGCGTTTCGTGAGAGAATCAAGCATCCTGCCAAAAAGCAGTCACAAGCAAAAAAATTTACCTATAGATTTTATTTTATATTCGTATTCTACAATCAAATCTGGGATTATGAAAAAGTTTTTTTCATCTTCTCACTTATTTTGACGGAGTTATAGAATTTGTGAAATGAGGGTCATCGGGAAAGTTCGAAAAGTACTATCCTCAGTATTTTGTCCATATAACTCTGTTAATTTTTGTCCGTTTTATTCGAATGGCCGACTGATACCGTTTTTTCAGTTTTTTGGCACTTCCAGTCTCAAAAATTAACTTTAACACAAAAATAAGGTGATATTTAAAATCAGCGTCAAAAACTGCCCATCGTATATTTTGGGGACAAAAAAACTTACAATGAAGAATTGCTCCAAAGTAGGAGATCAAAAATCTAAAAAGTGACAAAATTTTCTTTGTCTCCAAAATATACGATAGGCACACGACCTGGGCAGCTTTTGACGCTGATTTTAAATATTACCTTATTTTTGTGTTAAAGTTAATTTTTGAGGCTAGAAGTGCCAAAAACTGAAAAAACGGTATCAGTCGGCCATTCGAATAAAACGGACAAAAATTAACAGAGTTATATGGACAAAATACTGAGGATAGTNTTTCCCGATGACCCTCATTTCACAAATTCTATAACTCCGTCAAAATAAGTGAGAAGATGAAAAAAACTTTTTCATAATCCCAGATTTGATTATAGAATACGAATATAAAATAAAATCTATAGGTAAATTTTTTTGCTTGTGACTGCTTTTCTCGGCCGGCTGACAAATCGTGTCTTAAAGGATTAAAATTTTTTCTACAAACGCATTTTGTCGGCATCCAATTACATTGAAAGTTCAGCTTTATTAGTCTCATCCTTACAGAAGATCTGTTAGTTTGTCTCTCATTCTCTGAATGAATATTCATTTAACCACTGGTGATTTGTTTGTTGGCATTAGAATCATTCCTACACCGGTTCTGTTAGCCATTGAGTTCATATTAAATATAATGTTATTTTTGTTTTGCTCATATAGAGCACCCTCGAAAAAAAGTGGTTGATGCATAATTCCCGCCTGCACCAAGAGCATTAATTAATGAACAGTCCAAAGATTTTTTTTATAACATTCTTCAGATTTGGGCGTGAAACAGATTTGCTTAACGTTTTAAAATTTCCGAGATTGAATTTGAAAGTAGATCTGGAGACGTAGAGATACCTCCGGACCCTCTCTGTGGATATGGAACAGAGAATAAAAGGTCTAGACGAACAAGCTGAACAACGGAAAGATCATGGTGACCGTAAATTATTTGTATACTCAACATCAAATGAAACTTTTGATATTTCTTTAGAAAACCGATAAAATGCAAAAGTTACACGATAAAAAGTTAAATCTTCCCTAGTGCAAAAAAGTTCTTTTGCAGTTTTCATAGTCGAAACATACTTGTATTCACTTTCTAAGTTATTCTATCATCGACTATCGATATGCGTCGAGTATACCACTCACACCTTTTCCGATAGAGCATACACGATCAAACATATCCCGGTTCTTGAAACAAACCCAATGGGAAATATCAATGTGTCGATAATAAGAAGATTTTTATTTGATGTAAATAAATGTGTTGTCAGCAACTAAATCAGTCAACGTTTTTTCTCACTCTTAAATTTCACGTCTAGTGTATGAGCGAAGAGCATAATCATTGTACCGCTGTATCCGAAAGAGTGCATCGGGTATAAATCAACTTCCGCTGAACCGATTTTGATAATTTTTTTTGTTCTACTTGTCTATGTTTGGTCATTCACTTGTGAGAAAACCAAGGCTCTATCTCTTTTAGTTCCAAAGAAACTGCAGTCACAGTCTCAAAAACCTGGATTTTAGCGCCGCCTGCAGAAAGAAAATCTTTTTTCTTCTGTCAGTTTCCGTTTTTTTCTCAATTATTTTTAAGTCAGAATTGTAGAACTGGTCAAGAGCTTCCAGAATATGTGGTTTATTTTAGTTTCAGACTAAGTTGTTATGAACGAAAATTGTCATCAATACTTGGTAAGACACTTCACATTTTTTTGTAGAGCGACATTAAAATCATTGCTGTTCCGTATGGATGAACCTTTAAAAAATTCCTTTTAGTGGATAAGATAGAGAATTGGAAGCATAACAATCTGGCAAAAA